CCCCCCGCCGGCAAACCACGCCCCTGTCAGGGCCGCGCCCCCGACGGCAAACCACGCCCCCCGGCGGCAAACCACGCCCCTACCAGGACCACGCCCCGGCAATAACCCCACCTCCAAACCCCGCCCCCCGACCAGGCCCCGCCCCCGCTGCGCTTTCCGGCCTTTTCGCGACTCCCCCGCTCCCTTTACGGCCGCGCTGAAGTTTTACGACCGTCGGGGTGGGGGAACGGGAGTCCCGGAGGGGGATTTGGGGGGTCCCGAGGGGTCTTTGGGGGGGAGTTTGGTGTCCCTGAAGGGGTTTTGGGGGTGGGGCGGAGCCGGGGGGGGGAGGGCAGTAAAGGAAGGGGCTCTGAGGGGGATTTTTTGGGGGTGTTTTGGGGGGTTTTACCCCACCTTTAATCCCCTCCTGCCTGTGCCAGGGGCCATGGCCGGGGCAGAGCGGGACCGGCCAGGGGCGGCCGAGGAGGAGGAAGAGCAGGAGGAGGAGGAGGAAGAAGAGGAGGAAGAAAAAGAGGAGGAGGAGGAAGAAGAAGAGGAGGAGGAAGAGCAGGAAGAAGCAAAGGAGGAGAGTCCCCAGGGCTCCCCCCCCGCGGCCCAGGCGCCCCCCGGGCCGCCCCCCAAGCCGGTGGTCCCGGGGGTCCTTTACTTGTCCTTCCTCCCGCCGGGGTTCGGGCCCCGCCAGGCGCGGGCGCTGCTGCGGCCGCACGGGGAGCTGGGGAGGGTCTTCCTGCAGCCAAAGGGTGAGTCGGGGGGGTCCCGGGGGGACTCAAGGGGTCCCTGGGGAGGGTCTTCCTGCAGCCCAAGGGTGAGTCCGGGGGGTCCCGGGGGGACTCAGGGGGTCCCTGGGGAGGTCAGGGGGCCCCATCGACCCCCCTGGAAGTGCAGAAATGGGGGCGAGGGGCTCTCAGCCCCCCCTGGGTTGGGGTCTCTGACCCCCCCGTGTTCCCCACCCGCAGGGGGGTCTGTTCGGCGGCGGCGGCAGCGGCCGGGCGGACCCCAGGGGGGGTCCTTTGCCGAGGGTTGGGTGGAGTTTCGGGACAAACGAGCGGCCAAACGAGCGGCCAAACTCCTGCACGGGACCCCCATGAGCGCCCGGCCCCGCAGCCCCTTCCGAGAGCAGCGCTGGAGCCTCAAGGTGGGAAACGGGGGGGGCTGGGGGGGGGGGGGGGGGGGGGGGGGGGCCCCCAAAGCAGGGGGGGGGGGTGGGGGGGGGCGGGGGGGGCCACCCGGGTGAACACGGGGGGGGAGGGGGTTGGGCACCCCAAAACCTTCTGGGGGAGGTAGAGAGGGTTTGAAGGGGGGTCCCCTGACTCCTCCTTTGCCCCCCCCCAGTCCCTGCCGAGGTTCAGGGGTATTTAGGAATGTTTTGAGGGGTATTTGGGGGGTGGTTTTGGGGTATTTAAAGGTGGGGTTTGAGCATTTGGGGTGTTTAACTGCGCCCCCCCCTCCCCATGCGGTACCTGCCCAGGTTTGGGGGTGTTTTGGGGGATATTTGGGGTGACTAATTGCCCCCCCTCCCCCGCAGTACCTGCCC